CTGAGACAGGAGGATGGCAGGTTTGAGCCCAGCCTGGGCAATTTAACAATCTAGTGAGATCTTGTCTGAAAATAAAAAATAAAAAAGGACTGGAGATGTAGCTCCAGGCAAAGGCCCTGGGTTCATTCCCCAGTACTGAATAAAACAGAAAAATAGAGTATGTTCAAACCCTCCCATCCCCCAACACTGAGGACCCCAGCTCCAGGCCCGTGGCTCGGGGTGTCCACAGGGCAGAGGTCACCCCTTCTGCAGCTGGAGATGCCCCCTTGCCAGCCTTGCCCACCTTGCCCCAGGCCCCAGCCCTTCGTGGCAAGGCCAGGAGTTCATCCCAGCCCCGTCCGAGTAGCTGCCCGCCCTTTGTGGGCTCCAGTTCCATGGTATAGGAAATGACGGGGTTAGTGGCCCCATCCCCCTCCCTGTGGGCCTCGTCTGGGGCCAAAGCAGCAGTGTGTTGTCCCCTACACTCTTGTGATGCCACATGAAAGTCCTGTCTCTTCTTTTTTTGTGAGAATGGGTCTCACTGTATATTTAGGATTTGCCTTGAACATGCAGTGATCCTCCTGCCTCAGCCTCCCAAATGTTGGGGACACAGGCATGGGGCACCACACCCAGGGTAAGTCTCTCACTCCGTAAACACCAGCACCCACACCAGCCTCTCCTGTCCCTGCCCACCGTCCTGTCCTCCCCACTCGCCACCCCATCCGACCACTCTGCATGCTTGGGGCCAGCGTCCTTCCCTTGGCCTCTTCCACGTCACTCTGTTCCAGAGCATCCCCTCCCTGGCTGCCTGGCTGTGGTCCCAGCGCACCGCCCTGTCGAGTCTGCTCCAGGCTCCGAGTCTGCTGCATCTGGCCTTGCAGATCAGAGAGTGGGTCCGGCGCTGCCTCTTGGAAGCTGTGCAACCTGGAGCAAGTTACACCCCCCACCCCCCACCCCGTCCCTGAGCCACCTTCCCCACCCCTGCACTAGAAGTAGTGGAAGCATCTGCCAGGAGCGAACTTTGCTTATTTCCTTCCTTCCTTCCCCTCTCTCCCTTCTTTTCTTTCCTGAGATGAGCGCTCACTGTGTTGCTAAGGCTGGTCTCAAACTCCTGGATTCAACTGCTCTTCCTGCCTCAGCCTCCTGAGTAGCTGGGACTCTTGACATTGCACCACCACGCCAGTTTAAATACTGTTTCTGTTTCTGTTTTGTTTCTTTTGTTTGTTTTTTTTGAGACAGGGCCTCACTTTGTAGTTCAGGCTGGCCCTGAATTGGCTATGTAGCCCAGGCAGGCCTTGAACTTCTTGGAATCCTCCTGCCTCAGCCTCCCAAGGGCTGGGATTACAGGCCTGAGCCACCAGGCCCAGTTGAATGTACCTTGGTTATTTTCAAATGCTTTACCCTCCCCGCTTACTTACCCACCCCCAGCCCCCTGGCCTTACAAATCCAATGCTGTCTCATTTGATCTCCCCAAGAGAGAAGGGGGCCATTCTTTTCTCTCTCTGTCTCCCTTTTTTTTTTTTTGGAGGCAGGGTCTCCCTACATAGTTCAGGCTGGCCTTGAACTCACTTCATAACCCAGGCTAGCCTCAAACTCACACCAATCCTTCTGCCTCAGCCTCCTAAGTGTGCCTGTACCACTG